TAGTCTCATTTTGGGTCTGATTAACAGAGAAAGAGAGAGTGAGGCAAGGAGGAGCAAAGCCAATGAGCTATGTGCAACTCTACAATAAAATAAGATGAAATAAATCAATGTATATCAATGTATGGGAAGCACTGGGTTATTGCAAGAAGTGCATGCAAATGCCTGTGGTCATCTGGTGGGAGGGGCTTATGACAGATAGAGGAAAGCTGCAGGCAGAGAGTACCTCCAATACTTCCATTCTATTTTAAATTGTTTGTTTGTTTTTTGCCTTTTCCTGATTTCTGCCAACTCAAGTAAAAAGTAATTTGGCAGATACAATCTGGGCCTAAATTCTTTTTTTTTTGTATTCTTTTAGTATACTTCAATACATATGTACTAACAAAAGGTGTCACTCATAGTCCTTATTATCACCTGACTCTGCACTTCCCCTCAGATCTACAGGAGTATTTGAACATCTTTACTGTTTTCTTTACTGTTTTGATTCTCACCATTGTCATCAGAATTGTTTTCAGCCACAGCAAGTTGTTATCAAAAAAGCTCTAAAAACCAACTCTACACTACCTGCCCAGCAGACATGGACAAATCTAGTGAGTAGGTGAACATAGTGGAGCACTAAGCAGCTAAAGAGACAGATATTTCTCTCAGCAGTTGGTCGAGACCAAAACAGAGCAACAACGAGAGTGAATATTGGATGTACATTTATTATTGGACTGGAAACACCTCTGTTAACAAGCGTTCAGTGTTGTGAAATCACTACAGAGTAGCGTAAAATTCTAAGATACATAGACTGAGTGACTTTTCACGGTCCTCCTAAAAATGACCTTGGACGACTCATCTAACGAACTCTCCAGGGGTAGTTTTCTGGTCGAGGAAACAAGCAGCGGGGTGAAAGAGTGCCTTGTTTGAGCAGTCAGGTATGAGCTGTTCAGTTTCATGAATGTGCATGTTATATCCTCAGCCAGGTGAAGGCACAATCCACGGGCTGTTACCGGGGAGTTTTCTTTGGCCCTGAGATTGCAGAAGAGCGACAGACTCAAAGGCATCATACAGATCTTGTTGGCTGCTCCCACCTCTTCACCCTGCAGCTTTACCCCCCAAATGATGATAGAGAGCAGCTACTCCGGTGATGCTTTGAATTTTTATGGCACGTTTGTTTGCTTTGGCAAAGAAACAGAGAGCACCAGAGAGGGTTGTTGGGTTGGGACGGTTCAGTTTGAACTGTGATTCCTGGCATGATGTTGGAAAAGAGTGTCAGTCATTTTTAATTTGGGTTATGCTGATTAGACTGGGGTACTTTTGGTGTGTACGGTGGGCGATCTGTCATGACACTGTAGATGAAGATTGACAGCAACATTTTACACGATTCATGATCTTTACATAAACTATATACTATTGTATGCCCACAATGACTTTATCCACATATTTATTTTGTCTTGTTCGTCAACAATGGGAAACCAGCAAACTTTGGGAGGATTTTCTGTCATAAAGCCAAGGCCACATTAACCTGCTGGAGGGCCAAAAATGAGCAGCTGCCAATTAACATTCCTCCAAATTTGTAAGATTTGCGGTGTGGTAATTTGATTAAACAACAAGGCCCTGTGACTAGACTAGATCCTTTTCAATATTGTGTGACACCGTGCAAATTTCCAAACTAATCTTCCAGGTTTAAATGAGCACAAATCACTTAGTACATAGTAAATCAAGAGCTTTGGACATTTTGACATTTTTAAACATTTTGGACACGCTTAACTTTGGTTTGCCACCAAACTTAGTGGTTTAGACAATATCGGAACCCACTGACTTGCGGTCTGACAATGACAAAGCCTGGGGGCAATGGCCAGTATTTCTGGGGTTCTGGTGTAGCCAGCAAATATCCAGACCAAGACTTCCTCTTTCAGTTGCCAGTCATGTTTTACAGTTCAAGTAGCAACCTGAGACAGGACCAGACCACATTTTGGCTAGTCTCTATAAACTGATATCGGCATATGAATGCAGATAAATTAAAAAAAAAAAGCTTAAAAAAAGCTAAATAGTCATCAAATGATAGTTGATGGGTTCTGAGATTGTATTTCAGCCAATGCATTCCACCAAACCCGCTCCAGTGTGATTGGTCAATATTACTTGGGGTACAAATAGTTTAGGAACGGAAACCAGAATGCTTACGTTACCGAAATCTTGTCTTGCTGCCAACAGATCTGATTGTATAGTTTAGATAGATGCCATTTTGTTTCCCGATTGCAGAATTTAACAATGATTTAAAAATCAATAGAAATGATCAATATACCCTTTGTACCCTTTGTCCCTTTGTATTTCCTGTTTTGGGACGTAAGGACGTAAGCTTGGTCCCAAGCTGTTGCCGAGCGATGCAAATCCAGAGAAATGGTTGATAGAAAACTATAAAAATATGAAATAATAAGATAAAAGTTCAACCTGACTTTAAATGAGTCAGGAGTAACCTTTAACATAATTGATCTTTAATGGCACAAGTGCTTTTTTATGGTTGACACCTCTTCCAAGTGGCAGAAATCCCATTTCGGTATGAAACTCCTAAATTAGTGGAATTATACATGAATTTAATTATTTCAACCGTCATACTGTGTGATTGATTTGGTCTTTGTGACCTAAACTGTGAAACATAGAGCATAACTCCCACAGGAACTGGACAGTGCAGAGCCCTGTGTACATGAACTAAGTAACTAAAGTTACTATCATAAATATTTCAGCGAGAAAATTGCTTTCAGTCATAAATACATCATGTAAACGGGGGCGACTGGAACTGAGCCAGACCTCCTGTTACAGAGCAACACAATATGCATCACCTCATAAAAGGCACCAATTAACCGGGCCCTCGTATATCAGTTCCTAGTCACTTACAAAGTCATTGCCTTCCTTCCTGCCCTCATTATCATCACATACAGTAGGCACCCACAAGAGTGCACTTCACAGTAGTCGAGGGGAAAGGGAGGTATTGTTTTTTATCGGCGAGGGGTTTCCTCCAGTGTTCTCCAGCGGCCCCAGGGGTGGAGAATGGGGCTGTAGCTTTCCACATGTCCCTGTGTGACATCTCCATTGTGCTGGGAGAAAACACTCATGCAGCGCGGCGCAGACAGCATTCTGAAGGGTATGAATTTTGACAGTGAGACATATATCAAAGCAGCTACTCTGCATATCACAACGTCCGACCCACCGGGTTCACTGCGTAGAAACAATGAGGTGGAGAGTAACAGGCTTCTCTGGGAGTGTTTGTGATTTTCACTGACTTATGGGGTCAGACAGTATTTGTGTCAAAGGTTGCAGAGGCCTTGTGCTCTGCAGAGGTTCAATACAGCAGGGACTGCATATCATTTTTCGGATGCTCATCAGTGTGAAAAAAATAATAGAATTGCAAAAACAAAAACATATTAAACTGTACTCAGAAATGTTCAGGATGCTTTAGGTGAAAAATGTTAAACTATTGCAAATATGTCATGACAAGAAAATGCATTAGCCTGAAGGCGTGACTGATTTTATCTCTTCTATCAATGCATTTCCTATTTCTTCATTGCATTAAAAGGCTATTTAAGAAAATATACAATGATGGATACCTCAACTTTGTGGAACTGAAAGGCCTAATGATGCTACATGAAAAGATCTAATAGAAAATGTTTTTCCTTTGCTACTCTTTTAATAGAATCATCCTGATCTGTTGGTCTACCACTTTAGTCCAGACTGAAATAACTTAACCATTTGATGGACTGCTATGAAATTTTGTGCAGTCATTCACGGTTCTCAGTAGACGAATCCTAAAGACTTTGGTGATCCCTCATATTTTCATGTATAGTGCCACCAGCAGGTCAAAATGTTCACCTATCCAGTCAAATATCTGAACATCTACAGCACTATTTAAATTTGGTATTAACATGCATCTTGTATGTCTCTGATCATAAGTGGACAGCAAAGTACAGGTATGAATGCAACCAATGTGTCTGCAGACCTGATCGTGGATCTGGGCCACGTATGGTTACATTCTATAAGCACTATGTACACTAATGTGTCCTGGGCCACATTAAAGGGCCACTTTTGTTATCTGACCCCCTGCCAGAAAAGCAAACTTTCTGTTGCTGCCATTAAACAGGTCAGACACCATGCTGAAGGATCATCACCAAAGCTGCACTTTTCTTGGCAAACAGTCAGCTCAGCCCCTGCCTGGTTAGCACCAGCTAACACAGCAGCAGCTGCTAAACAGTCCTAAAAAAGTCACACTAACACCGAAATGGCTCGACTCTGTCCTAAAGGCCCAGACACACCAAACTGACATCGAAGACCTAGTGGCGATGAAAGCCGACTGAAGGGTTGCGTCACGTTGGTCTGTGTCTCGGCCAAAAAGTTGCACATGAACACACCGCAAATACTGCAGCTGAGGGCCAACCAGCAGATATGTTCTGTGCTGCATGAGAGGAAATAACTCTCCACATCAGCAGGTAGTGGTAGTCTGTAATTGCCATTCAAAAAGGGAAACTAGAAGACCATCATGATGCTAGTTAGCCAGTTAGCACATTAACAACACAATCCAATGTTAAAAGAACAGAGTACATTTACCGTGCACTGGGCAACAAAAACACAAAGCATCACAAAACATTTCTGCTAAAGAGCTCAATTGCTAAAGAAAAATGATCTTACCTAATGGAACAACTTTGTTTTGGTCTCACTCCCTCTTGACTTAATTACTTTGTTTACTTTCCTCACTTCCATTTCTCTTCTCGAGCTCTGAGCTGAACTGCTAATCAAAATGATTTCATTCACTGTAAGGCTCCGCAGTCTCAAATTCAACATGCCAAATTGCATAAAAAAACAGTCAACCAACGGTGCAAGACACATGGCAAAGACTAGGGCGACATACACTCTCCGATGGCCCAACATTGACTTTGTGTGTCAGGGCCTTAAAATCTGTTAATAACTCTTAGTTAACATTAGCTGTGTGATGCTAACAGTTAGCTGTGTCACTGTGTGGGCGGACTCACCAACTGTCCCTGACGCGGAGCTTGCACTGCTGCAGCGGTCGTCTCCTAGTGGCGGGTGCTTAAGTGTGCGTTTAGAACGATAGACCTCCCACCTGTTAAAAACAACAACACATTTAGTTTTTGCAAATGAAACCGATGTACATGTTTATGTGCATACAGAGCCAGGAAGTGAGATCTGATCATAACTGGTCACTCAATATGCATGAGAAGACACATTCTAATGTGTGAACAGACAGACTTAGATCTGTCCACTTGTGATCGGATCAGCCAAGATGCATGATACCACCAGGAGTAAACAGATGCTAAAAGAGATTGGCACAATTTGGTACAGGTTCAATAGTTTTCAGAGGATGTATCCTGCAGACTTGGGTGACCTCCTCTTGTGCTACCCTGAGGTTGACAGTGAAATGTCTCAGAATTAAGTTCAGCTATTCATGTTCCGCTCAGGATGAATTTTAATCACAGTGGTGATCCTCTAACTTTTCATCTAGCGGCATCATCAGGTCAAAATTTTGAATTTGCCCAATACTTAAGTTCATAACTAAATATTTGCAAAACCAATGACATCACCATCTTGTTAATCTCTACTTTGTGTTCAGTGCTAATTCTTAAATGTTAGCATGCTCATGTTGAACATGGTAAATATCACAGACTGAAATATATTTACTATTTAGCATTACAGACAGAACAGCATTACAAACATTGAATCATGCACACAATCTTACAGAAGTCTCCTTTTCCTAATCTGAAAATATTGGACCAAAAAAAAAAATCTCTCACAAGTGCAACCGCTTTGCCAAAAAGCAAACAAAACATCTTGTTTAAACACATTGAAAATCTGGCTCACAGAGTGGTATTTTGCTGAAGCGGTGGTGTGGTGGCAAACAGGAAAGTGAAGCAGCTCAGATTGAGACAAACAGTGCTGCTGTGTTTTTATAGCCTATATCTCCTCACAGCAAATGGTGCTTTGCGCCATATCTGCCCCCTACATTATTTACACCTCGTTTTTATTAGGGCAATCTTGACATGTGTGCCCGGTGATCGATGGGAGTGCTTTCTTTTTTTATGCTAGCCCTGTAGGGTAGCCAAAGTGGGCCATGGGCTTCTGTCTTTCAAAAAAATATGAAAAAAGGGGTAAATATAATGATGTGTTTTTACTGCCTTTGTTTAGATTTTTTTCAACCGCAAGGATTTAGGATGGAGAATGTGTCAAAAACCGGAGATTAGAAGAAGATTATTTTGGGGGAACGAGTGTGTTGCAACAGCCAGAGGGGCTTTGATTGTGTTTGATGTCACCGAGGCAAAGACCAAATGTAAATATACCTCTTATTATAGTAAATGGGTTGACCTGAGAGTCAACATGGATCCAATTATTTCTTAATTTTAATCACATACAAAGTAAATCCCCAACCAGCTATTCATCCATGACCACAGTATCTAATTTGCAGCTGGGTTAAAGGGTTATTGCAACAATTCTGAGTCCCTTTATTTGGCAAATACATTAAATAGCTGTCAGAGAAACGGGCACAGAAAAACATCTACAAATACATAATGAAACAAATGTGATTCAAGCACCATGCTGCTCAATTCAGGAGGTGATACACGCCACTCATTATGCATTCACTGCTCTGTTTTTGTTACCATCATGATTGACACGTCCATACAGTAAAAACCAAGAGTGGAATTCTGAAAAGCTCACCTCAATAATACATATTTATATTAGTTGCTGTTGAAATGCTATCCAAATAGATCTGACCTTGCCTCAGCTGGGGAACAAAAATGAATTATATATAACCTATACAGACTTCACTTGGCAAATAAGGGGGAATAATACGTACTATGAAGCGCTGAAGATGCACTTTTCAAGCCGTTAAGCCAGGGGGACCTCCACATTGGTGAAATGTCAAAGCCTGAAATCCACAGGAGATACATTCCTGGATTTGTAAAGGGATTTTCTTTGAAGCCAATGCTGGTGAATATTAATGTCCAGAGGAACTGCGGTTGTCTGGCTTTGTGTGGCTCAAAATGGTCACGACAGCACGGAGAGAGGCTGCACAGGTTGCATTATTAAAATTAATACCAGAAATAACCTTAAAATTAATCTGAAAATGACTCCTCTCCTCACCTGAGGTCAAATTTGCTGCGCTGCATTGAATCTATTCAGAGAGTTACTAAAATCATCTTATAAAGCTTTAGTAGAGGAAGTAGTAGATGGCGAAATACAGTTTGCCCAGGTTTACAAAGGTTTCATACAATTTATGTGTGTGACTGACAATACAGTGCATCGGTGTACATGTACTCATGTACTCTTAGGTTCTTAGGTACATTTCATGATAGGCTACTCTATCCCTCTGCTCCACTATACCTTTCAGAGGGAAATATTCTGCTTGTACTCCAATACCTTTATCTGACAGCTTAGTGCTGTGCTGATTAATATATAAGTACAAAACACATTTTAATGCACTTATAGAATTAACTATCCTCCAATAGAATTACTATCCAGTAGCATATAGTAGAGCAGCTCCACCACAGCCAACTACAACATCAAAATGCAGCTTACACATCAAGCATCAGTTAAAACAATCCAGTTAAACTCCAAAGTGGAAATATGTAAAACTAGAAAGAGAAAGAGTAGAAAGCTCTCTTCTCTGGAAAATTTGTGTACTTTCAACAGATGAGGTGCAACACATCTCAGAAGCGTCCCAGAAGCTAATAAAAAATACTCCCCCGCCTCTTATCTATTTTTGACGGAGCTGCAGCATGTTGCACAGAGCAGACTGAATTTTTCTGCAAACAGGCCCCATATGTAAAATTAGGCACAATGTGATTATGAGAATGAATGCATTTTTGATGAATAAAACACAGCCACATATCTTTGATCCACGTCATTCACAACTGGAATTTTAGGGGAATTAACCTCATCTGTAGGCTACAGCACAACTAATTAGGGAATAACAACATTGGACATAATTAAAGCAGACAAAAAAGAAAACATTTAACTAAACAGCATGGTTACTAACTTAAGGCAGAAGCACAAATATCAAGGATATGCACAGTACTGTTTTGCCTGCTGGCCCTGCCTGTGAGTTCCCACTCGGCTCATAAACTTGATGTCACAGATTTTATATCACTTTTTTTGGCCTGAGGAAAGTTTTACAACCATAAAAATTCATATTAGATAGAGTTATAATTGACCTTGTTTGCAGTTCCAAGGTGTCGTGTCAACAGTTTTACAGACGTGTCTTTTATAGGGAAACTGCCTTTGGGCCACAGGGGATATTTTTCACTGTGATACTGTGAGTGGCCACTGGGAAAAATTTGCCTGCAAGGCTGAGCGACGTTCTTGGCAGTCCGGTGGCACCTATGGTATCACCAGTGTATAAATGTGTGTGTGAATGGGTGAATGGTGCTTGTGTTAAATGATTTGAGTGGTTGCTGAATCTATTTATCCTAGGAATGCTCGTATGTGTCGTTCTCAATGGACATGGACAAACACCATATTTTGATGTTTAATTTGGAGGAGCTGTTGCAAAATATTCACCCTCCTTTTAGCCCAGTTTTGGTCTCCACCAACATAAGAGAAAAACATTTCTTTGTTTTTGTTTTTGTTTTTTTCCATTAACTGATTGCTCATTTAAGCTTACGTCACTGAGCTGTGCAGTCAAAACTGTGAGTGTGGAATAAAATAATAAATAGCTGCTGTGTGTAGAGCGGCATAATTCACTGTGCGTTTCTACCCTTAGGCATTTGATCCATTGTTAGCAGAAAACCACTGCTTCTAAACTGTGGTGTACATTAGTTTGAACAAATGTTAATCAGATTGTATTACTGAGCACACATCTTTTGATCATTAAAAGTTAACACAAATTTCATTAAACCTTCATTAAACTGCTGTGAAATGTGGTTCAACTGTGTGTTGACCCGCTGGACGTTAACAGATAGCAAACGCATCTTCTTCTTCCTCTTTTTCATGTACAGTATGAATGACTTGACTCCCACACCTCTATCATTTCAATCAGATGTATTATGTTCTGCCTCCATCACTTTTAAGGGATGTCACGATGTCACGCTGCAGCAGGGATGAAGTCATGACTCCATTTTATTTTCAATCTCATCTCCTTTGATTCAGTATTTTCCTCTGATGGTGATGGCTCAGCCACAGAGTTCCCAAATTAGAAAACAGCCTCCTTGAAATGAGTTATTGGCCGATCTTTTTCTTTCTTAGTGATTCAAACTTGATACATAACAAAACTGCAAGTGAGCATGTATAACTGGAGGATGGGGGCAAGTATAGAAATACAGGATATGCAGCAAATAGTAATAACTAATGAGTGTGCATACTTCTATACAGTATATCTGTACCATAGAGAAACACACACACAGTAAAAGGGCACAAAACAGCATGTTCAACCTGCTGATATTATAAAGTTGAACTCAGTCTGTTGCTCCACAGTATTAGTTCTGCTATGGTTGTCTGCCTCTTTGCATTATTTATTCATGCTGTTGACAAATTGTCACTGCAGTGTGGACCGTTTATTCAGTTTTATAACATTTGCTAGAAAAAGGAGTACAGCAAGCAGAAGTTGAGCATGGTTTTGAATTTCAAGTGAGGAATGGTAAAAATGAAAACTAAATACTAGTTTAGCCTGTCAAAGATGTGACTTGTAGTTGTTCACAGTGACACTGTTCGCAGCCTTTCTGAAACTGGCAGCATCAATAAAATATCTTTGTTCTTGCAGCTCTGTGTGCTCCATCTCCTGATTAACTCTGATATGTTTGAACAAATTTGTGGTACTTCCACTGGAGCATATTAAAAGGCTGGCCAAACAACCAAGTTATGCTTCGACTTTGAGGAGTGTGGACTGGATGGCTAATGTCCTTTCTGACAGTAGGAGGTAATAATGTGGTGGTATCGTCACAAGAGGGCAGTAAACAAAAGGACAATTTGTGTTTTTGTGAAAAACAAATTGTTTAAAAATAGCTACACCAATGAAAATCAAAATCGAAGGAATTCCTGCAGTCTGCCTCTGATTTTGTTCCCTCCAATTAAACTCAACTAGAGTTGGTGTTAAAAGCAGACAAATCCAAATCC